CCCCCATCCTCCCACCCCCACTTCTCCCGCAGCCCAGCCCACCCGCCATCACAAACTCACGCTCACCGGTGCGGTGAAGTATGGTTCAAAGAACCCCCGTGACCAACAGCGGTGCGGTGGAGGCCCCCCACCGAACGGTGGCGTGAAAAGGGGGCAGCGGATTGCGACGAGCGTCGTTCCAGGTTGCCCCCTGCTTAATTGCCCGTCGGTGTTTTTCACGTGAGCGATATTTCAGGAGGTGGGGGGGGGGTGGCGTAGGAGTCACATGACGGAGTCAAACTCATGCGGTCTGGCTGCAAGGCAGAGTGGAGCACATTTACAGTGGGTTGGGGGGGGGGGGTCGAGGGGGGGGGGCGGCCCATCCTTTTGCCAATTACAATTTTACGAGCGGCCGTAACCTTTTAAGAGGAAAAGTAAACCCCCCGGATTTAAATATCCCGCCTCGTATATGGAAAATTCAATAGCTCGCAGGAAGAGAAAGTTTCAGTAATTACAAGTGGTAATTTAAGCAGCTGTCTTGCCTGTTGCGTCATTGTTGTTTCACCGCTGCCCTCGGATGGGTGAGCGCAACTCAACGATTTCTCCATCAACTGTTTAACGAACCCTGGAGAAAGCCCTTTCCCAGAGTCTTGGGATCACGTTTTTTTTTTTTTGCAGGAGCCCGTTCGATTAGTCCCTGTGTGAGCGTGTCGAGCGTTCGTTGTTTTGTCGAGTTTTTCGTAATGTTTGAGAACTTCTTGGTTCTTTCGGTAAAGTCACGTCGAAGGGAAATAATAACATAATAAAAATAAAACATAATATAATACAATTCTCACGAGGTTTCGGCCACAACGCAAGCAGCCGTCCTCAGGTGAAGAACAGGTCTGTCGAAAAGACAGCGTCTGAATGTCTTTCCGACAGAGCTGTTCTTCACCTGAGGACGGCTGCTTGCGTCGTGGCCGAAACGTCGTGAGAATTGTATTTTGTTATGTTTTATTATTTTATTATTTCCGTTCTACGTGACTTTACCGAGAGAACCAAGAAGATGAATCCCTGCAGTCACGAAAGCTTTATATCGAAATTTAATGTTTGAGAAATTAGTAATTTTTCTGCCGAGTTTTGAGAAGGGAACCCCTCCCATCGCTCCATCCCCCCGCTCCCCCCCGTGCATCCTGGCTAAAAACCAGAAAACAACGAACTCAACACGCCCGTCAATAATAACGTGGCCCTTAAAATAAAAATGAAAAAATATAATCGGTGACGTTTTGGGCAACGACCATCCTTTATTGTTGGGATTATTTTGGCCGCTGTTCTAAATTTCCTCGCAACGATGATGCCACTTTGTTGAGCTTCTGAGAAAGAAAGTGATAGCTCAGTGGGCTTTGCCTGGAAAAAAATAAACATAGATATATATTTTTTAGTGATTTGCTGATCCTTTCCTATACTTTGCACCCATATATTGTTGCCACGTTCTGACCCCGTGCCCCTACTGGACATCTGTGAGCAAAGAGCTTGACAGCTCTTCAGATTCCTCCAGTCTGAATAAATATCTTGATTTTCTAGCCTTTTGCCCGTCCAAGGACGGGTGTATTGCAGTAAATCTGAAACTTGCAAGCAAAAAGCAGCCCGTGACGTGATATTCATTTCATCCGTTCGTGTGCAGTTTGTAAGGCCGCGGTGACACAGACCTATTTCATTTTAAGGTTACAATCCTTTGTTCATCACGACGTCCTTTTTACTTTGATGTCTCAACAGCGCTACGGAGATCGCGTGACGTGAGGGTTCCACCTTTGTAGTGAGGGCTGCGAGTTGACGCCAAGGAGGGGGGAGTGAAGTCACTCGCTAATTAATATTAATGGAGGGGGTGGTGTCCATTTGGAGGACATCACCTGTTCATGATTATTAATGAGGGGGAGCTGGTCGACGTGGAGTGAGGTCACGCGCGGGACACACAGACATTCTTGGCTCATCGTAGTAAATTAAGCCATTCCCCTCCTTGTCCTCCCTCCTCTCTGAAAGCCTCACCTCTAGTTCTCTCTTGCCCAATTATCTTCCTTCCCCTCCACTGCTTCCCGTCCCTTGCCCACCCTCCCGTCATCCCCTCTCACTATCCCTCGATCGCTCTCACTCATCCATCAGCTCCGTGCGCAGCGCGCCCGTGCCCTCCCCGCCAACGACATCGCCCCAATCCGCGTCACCGTTCTGTGAGCTGTGTGGAGCGCCTTGGGTGAAGGCGCTCGCTCTATAAATATAAATTGTGTTAAGGATTGGATGCGTGGCATATAAATTTAATAAATGAATGCACACCGGACAAAATCTCTGCCGTGAAGAAGAGACGTTGGCTGAAACATCACCTTTTGTGTGTTTTTTGTCCGTTTGAGGCCACGGCATTATTGACAAACATCTTGAGTCTGTTTGAATGAAGCAAATGGGTTTTTCCCCGTAAGAGCGTGTTGGGTTTGTTTGTTTGTACGTATGCGCGCTGTTGTGCGTAGGCGTTCGTGTGTGTGTGTGTGTGTGCGTGGCCGTCAACGCGTGTGTCCGTATCAGTGTGCGCACGTTGGCGGATGTGTGCCGGGGAGCGGTGGCGCAGTGGTTAGCACACTGCGCTACGCAACCCAGCCACCTCGGTTCGATTTCCAGATACGGGTAAAAACCCTGAAAGGCGAGTGGTATCTGGACCAGTCCTGGGGCATCCTGGGCCTCCCTTGGGTCGACTCGGCCTTGAATGAGTCCCCAGTCCGTCGCGTAAACAACAGCGTGGCAGACACAAAGGCAGCCGGGCGTAGTGCCGATCGCGCCCACTCCCTCGTGCGCTGTGCCGGCCTTCACGAGTGCTCGAATACAACACTCGCCCCAACAATCTGTTGAGGCTATATGGACGGGGGGGTGGGGTAGGGTGGTGGATCTTTGTCTTCGTTGTCCGCAAAACACTTAGCACGCTCGGAGCAAGGTAGAAAGGTGGCGGGCGCGGCCCTTTAATGGCTTGCTCTCACCGCTGCTCGTCGTCGGGTCTGGAGGGCGTTCAGACCTCCTCCTCCACGCTCACCCACACCTGACCACACCACGTGCGTCCTGCTGGTGGACTGACTGCTGGTGGACTCGTTTGTGTGGCGAGGGCGCGAACGAGAACCCTCGCGAGTCGTCGTTTGGCACGCCGACGGTTCCCGCCGCGTCGTCCGTACGCGCGCGGAACTTTTCTCGCGCACCCTACGTGGCCGACCGTGATAATCGGTGGTTTTCCCGGGGAAGGAAAATGGTGAGATTTCCCCACTGCCGTGGCATGAGCAGGTGTGTTGTTGACTTTCCTTCGCAGAGGAGGTGACTTATTTTGTTTGATGCCATGGGGGTAAGTCAGGCCCAGCAGTCTCCAGTTGTCAGGGGTTTGAACTCGCAGCCTTTTGGTTGTGGAGTCATCGAGTGCTGTGACGGGGGGGGGGGGTTGGAGGGGTATGGCTCTGATTCGTTTGCATTTGCAATTTACAATCAGAGATTCAATCCGGGAAATGAAATTCGATAGAGGTGAAAGTACGCTGTAATTTCCCGCTTTGCATTTGTGTGGCTGGAATGGGAATTTGAGTGTGAACACGTGTGGATTGCTGGGTGTGTGCATGTGCGTGTGTGTGTTTGTCTGTGCGTACATGAATTGTGGGAAGCGGTAGTGGTGGTGCAGTGGTTCGCGCGCAGCGCTACAAACCCGGCGACCCGAGTTCGATTCCCGCTCATGGCAACCAACACCGGTGACGATTATCTGAACCCGTCCTGGGCCTCTCTCCCTAGGTCAACTTACCCTCAAATGAGTACCTGTTGCGGTGTGTAAACATCGCCACGGGGGAGACAAAGGTGGTCGGGTGTGGTGCTGGCCACCTACCCCCTCGTGTGCCTTGCCAGGCTTCATAGGTGCCTCTCGGTAGCAGCACTTGCTCCAAAAGTCTGTTAAGGCTATACGGGGGGATGGGGGAATCTTTGTCTTTATCTTGTACATGAACATGCATACAAATGCGCGTGATGCATGCCACATTTACAAAAATTTTGCATAATAAAATTCAAAACCGAATGCAAATTTACCTTCTCCACGTCGCGGTCCAACTTGTCGGGTTGATTCAGAGGGTTCTCATATTGGCTGCGTCGAGGGCTTAAAGCCAGCACCGTTGGGGACACACAGGTTCACATCCAGGTTTACACCCTGTCATTAAATCAGATTCTCCGGTGTAATGCGTTAATGGTTCCACCCTGGTAATAAATGACGTGAAAAATTTGGAGTATTAAACGTAGGTTTTTGTTGTTGTTTAGTTTTGCTTTATTCTCTGAACCAGTTTGCAGTGTTAATAACATTTATAAGCCTACGTGTTAAACTTAATACAAATTTGCCAACGTCGCATTTTGGTTCATTCGATGGAAGGATAGGGTCAAGCAAATTCAAAATAGAACCTGGAAGGAAAGCATCGTGGTCGTCGTAATTGGGAGGCAGAGGAGGAGGTGGTGGTGGTGGTGGTAGAGGAGGAGGTAGTGGAGGTTGAGGAGGCGATGGGTGGGACGTGTGCAAGACATGGCACGGTGCTCAAGCTTGACTCAACGTTTGACAATTATCGTTAATGGGACTTAAAAAAAAATCATTGAGCTACACAGCTTTCTTTCAGAAACGATCTGGTGACAAATAATAATAGCCCAACGAAGTTGCTTATCACGTGTAAATAAAGGTATGGCAGCCAAATACAGTAAACGCATGTTTATAAATGTGGAGGGAAAAACCGGAGGACCCGGAGAAAAATCCACGCGACCACGGGGAGAGAGAGACACGCAAATTCCTAAAATACGGGTGTCAGGGTTGGGATCGAACCCACGACCTCATGCAAACCAGGCGAGGTGGTTAACACCTCGACAAAGACATCAAATCCACAGGCGAGGGCTCGACTCAAATTCCACGCAGCCATCGACGTCGCCTTAGAACTACGACTACGGTTCGAAACGCTGACCCTGTGTCTGCCCTCCGTGCCCCCCCCCCTCCCCCCACCGCACAGGTACATGAAATACCTGTACCCCTACGAGTGCGAAAAGAAGGGGCTCAGCTCCCCGGCCGAGCTGCAAGCCGCCATCGACAGCAACCGCAGGGAGGGACGGCGCCCGAGCTTCGGCTCCCCGCTCTACAGCTACACGCCGCCGGGACCCTCCAACCTGCTGCCCTCTCCCAAGATGCACCTCTCTAGCCTGGGCATCCCCGGACTCACCAACGGCACGCACATGTCGTCCGGCCAGTCCATCAAGAAAGGTGAGCGAGCGACTCTCCCCCTCCCCCCTGGGGTGCGGGGGGGGTCATGCATCTTTGCCCGCTGGACAATCGGGAGCCGTGCTGGTGGTGGGAAGGGGCGGCGGGGGTGGCGGTCGTGCAGGGCCGGCCGACAGGCCTTCGACGGAGTCGGCTTGCGCCTCTCGAAATCGCGAAAAAGTCTTCGGGCGATGGGTCGCGTCGTTCTTGTCCCCCCCTTCCTTCGTCCGAATCGGAACGTTAACGGCCGCGCTTTGGACACGCGCGTAGCTGTTCACCGCCGCCGCAGAGGTATCCAGGAATGGAGGAACCGCAGAAGAACCGCGGAAGGCAGCTTGCCAGGCGGTGAGCTGGCGCTACCTACAAATTGCTTTTGCGGTCCTCTGTATATATATATTAAGGTGTCACCCGATTAGTATGGAAGAATGTAAACGTTACGGCCTAGGCTTTGTCGACTGCGGATAGACGTTAGGGGTAAATGTCCCATTGCTTTAAAACCACCCAAGAGGTGAGATGCAGTGGGAAAGATTCCGCGTTGCAGTGCCGCTGACATTTTCTCTACGTAGCTTCTGGATATTTAATTGAAGTGCAACAGAATCACCTCCAAATACCGCCCCCCCCCCACCCCCCCAGCTTGTTTGACGAACTCTCACGATCCAGACTCGCGATTCGAAATTGAGAACCGATTTAAATAATTCTAGATTTGTAGTTTTAACCGATTTAAATATTTTTTAATTAAATTCTCTGCCTCGTTTCGAGCACCCCCCTTGCTGGTTTTATCCCCCCCCGGTCTCGTTGGGGTTTTCGCCTTTCGCGCAACGCTCGCGTGCGCCCTGCGCGTCATTGTAAGTGTAAAAAAATTAAAAATCTCACTCGCAAGATAAACTATTTCCATCGATGTTAACGATCCATCGATCAATGATCGATCAATGAATCGATGCCGGTGATTTATCTCGAAAAACGCCTTTGACGGACCCCCCCCCGGGGGGGGGTCTCCTCGTTGCCATCACGGGTTCAGCCTCCAGCCGATAACACAAAAAGCAAAACCCGGTGGAAATTGCGCAAAGGTAATAAAACAGCTGACGTCGAATCCACAATATCCAGCAGAGCTATAGAAATAGTTCACGGGGTCTTTGCCCGCCCCCCCACCACCCGCCCTCTGTAAATGATTCTAAATTATGCATCGGAGTAGCTTACGTCGAGGCAACCACGAGGATTAATGATTTTGTTTACTATCGTGTCCCAACCCAACCCCCGCCCCCCCACGGGTTTTTATAGTGCAATGGGAAACGCAAATGTATAGACATCGCCCCGTCGCCCCCAAAAAGCTTCGTCCGGCGGGCGCCGGGAGCGTCGGCGCACCCAGCGCCTCGTGACCGATGATGACCCCCCCCCACCGACAACCTCTGATCAGCCGCTGCTTGTAAGGGTTTTATTTATATTTTGTATATTTTTTTGTCGAGAGCCGGCGCTAACCGCTGGGACGGAATGGGCCGGGTCAATGGTGGTGGGGGGTCATAAAATCGGGCCTTCTGATTGTCACCACCACGGAAGACGGGCGATGGGGCCGATGCGTTTACGCACGCGCGCGTGTACGTGTGCGCGTACACGCTAACACACACACACCCCAACACACGCACACCCCCGTATAGCCTTAATAGACTGTTAGGAGCAAGTGCTGTTTGCGAGCAGCCGGAAGGGCACACGAAGGGGGTGGGTGGCCCGAGTTCGATTGCCCGCTCACGGCCAACACCAGTGACGAATGTTTGAACCGGTCCTGGGCCTCTCCCCCTAGGTCGACTCGGCCTCAAAATGGGTACCTCGTGGCGGTGTATAGTGAACATCGCCATCTCCACGTGGGCTTCTCTTGCCGTGGTACACGGACCGGGCGCTCGCAAACTCTGAAGCAGCCTGCGCGCCGAAATACTTTCCGCTTTTACTTTCTTTTTTTAACGTATATCTAGAAGCACGCGTTGAGACTATTGAGATGAATTTGCTGCTATCCGTGTCTAAATGATAAGCCACTTCTTTTTGAGCTTTCATTTGTGGCCTGGTCGCTTTTGATAATGTAGTTTATATCCCAGTGGGCTTTGCCTGGTAGGATGGGGATGGTTTAGTTTTATTTGTTTGGGTGATTTATTTAACTTTATTGTACTTTGCACTGTTTGTTGTTGTAACGCTCTCACCCCGTGCCCCGACTGGACATCTGTGAAACAGAGCTTTATACATATTCTGATTTATATTTATATACGTACTGAGGCCTGGCATTTGCGTGCCTAAATACGCTCCGCTCCGTGCTTCTCTATTTCATATGTAAATATATATTAGATATATTTATATATATTGAGGCCGGGCGGCAGAGTCTAATCTTCACGGTCCACATTCGATCCTTTTGAGTGGCCCGTGCCTCTCTTTTTTTTATTTATTGCCGACCTGAAATTTAGAAACAAACAGCCTGGCCACCGCCCTGATGCTATACGCCGGCCAAAGTGGAAACGGTCATGCGACGAGGTTGTAACAGAAGAAGGGGAGAGAGACGCACACACACACATATATATAAAACATACGAACACGCACGCACGCACACGCTCGCACGCTCGCTGGCTATTTCGCGAAAACGTACGTTAAGTTTCGTGTGCACCCGTTGACACGGGTACACAAGTAGGCACGTGTCCACGCACTCGCTGACGTAAAAAGACACGCGTGCGTGCGTACGTACGTACACACACAAAGACGAACAAAGATCACCCGTGTAGCCTTAACAGGCTTTTGAGGCAAGTGCTGTTTGCGAGCGCCTATGAAGGCCGGCACGGCTCACGAGTGGGTGGGTGAGTGGTCGGCACCTTTGTCTCCCCAGTGGCGATGTTTACACACCGCACCAGGTACTCATTTTAGAGTGAAGCGACCTATAGGAGGCCCAGCACTGGTTCAGATAATCGTCACTGATGTTGCAGGCCATGAGCGGGAATGTAACCCAGGTCGCCGGGTTCGTAGCGCAACGAACTAACCACTGCACTACCGCGGCCACACACGCCTACGTACACACACACCTACGTACACACACACTCGCTGGTACGAACTCGCATATGTCCACTCAATCGTAAAACTCGGCCATGGCCAAACACACCCACTCATAAAAGCACGCGCGGAGATGCGCCCTAATACACGCAAGTCGCCCGTCGCAAACACACGTTGACTCGCGGATGCACACGCTCACCCGTGAGCATATACGCAGCGAGTGTGCGTGTGTATATATATATGAAGGACACGGATTGCCGTGTAGTCTACAGAGACTGTAGGAGCAAGTGCCGTTAGTGAGCACCCATTATGTCTTCGTCACTGTAAGACAAATTTCCCCTACAGCCTTACCAGATTGTCGGGGCAAATTCTGTTTGCAAGCACCTTTTGCAATCTCATGAACACATACAGAGATAAAGGCTCCCCCCCCCTCGTATAACCTTAGCAGACTGTTGGGGCAAGTTGCTGTTAGCGAGCACCTTTGAAAGCCACACAAGGGGTTGGTGCGTGGCTAGCACCACGCCCGGCCGCCTTTGTCTCCCCAGCGGCCATGTTGACTACAGACCGCACCCAGGTACTCATTTGAGGCTGAGTCTACCGAGGGGAGGCCCAGGACCGATTCAGATGATCGTGAGCGGGAATTGAACTTGGGTTCACAGCTGCAGCGCGCTAACCGCTACGCTGCAGCCCCCAACGCGCACGCACCGACACGCACGCACAGACACACACAAAAGACACGCACACGCGCGCACACACTCAGACACCGGCCTCTTAACGCCGAACCGATGTCTCTGGAGGGGCAAGAGTCTCCATACACATTCCCGCGATGAGCACAGCACCGATAACGTCTTAATCGCGCTGCCGCGATCTCCCACTCGCGCGCGACGCTAATAAAAGGCGAACAAAAATACGAGAAATCAACCGCAATCCGGTGCCTTATTGATCGGCGACGGAGCAATGCCTCAAATCCCCCTCCCGTCGCTAATCCCGCCGCTCTCGGCAGGCACTGGCTTAGCAGGTCCGTTGTCCGCGTCGCGCTTGATACGCTGAGGCGGCTGTGTACGCCAGCGAGCTCTTCTGCTTCCACGCGGGGCGTTTCGCCGCTGTCCTCGCGAGCCGTCTCCACGCCGCACCGTCCTGCGCCAGCTCTCTTCCCGCTCCTTGGGCCAGCCTTGCCTCTGATCGCACCGCACCGCATCGCCACCTTCCCCCCCCCCCCTCTTCTTCCGCCTTCCTCTTGATCTCTTTCCTTCCGCTTGCATCGTTTGCACCTTCTGCGTACTCTGGACGACGAAACTATTTAAAACACATTTTTTTTTTAACTGGCGATCACAAACGATAGGTCAGCGAAAGCGGCTTATCGTCGTCACGTGGATATTTCTATCAGCCAAACACTCGAAATGCGTGATGCCGATTCTAAATGTGGCTGGAATAACCGTAAGTGCCGGAGAAAAATCCACGCGACCACTGGGAGAAAGTCACGCAAACTCCCAATATACAGCAGCAGGCGTCAGGGTTGAGATCGAACCCACGACCTACTGTAGACCGGGCGAGGCAGTTAACATCTCGCCACCACGGCAATTGGCGCGCTTAGATCGCTTGATTCCTGCATGATCATCATCATTGTCTGTGGTCAATCCGCTGCCGGATTAATGCCTCCCCAAGCCTTCGCCACCTCTCCGCGGTCCTGCAGTGTTCACAATCCAACCTGGCGCCCTGGCGCACGATGAGGTCATGCCCATCGTTCCCATCGCCTTCCGTTCCTCGGCTGCCCCTCTGCCGTGAATTTTCAAACCGTCCATCCGTCATCGTCCCTCCCGGCCGTGCCCCACTCACTTGCCGTAACCGCTGGGACGGTTCTTAAGAACCGGTGCCGGGCATCACCTAGGTCGACTCTGCCTCAAATGAGCGCCTGGGTGCGGTGTCGAAACAAAGGCGGTGGGGGCCGTGGCGCTGCAGGCTGCCCCCGTGTGCCGTGCCGGCCTTAACAGCACTTGCCCCAACAGTCTGTTGAGGCTATACGGGGGAGGGGACCTTTGTGTTTGTGCCGCTGTCAATAAAGTTGCACAAATGTCGTCACTTACGCACACACACACCTACCGACTTATCCGACCTTTGCTTAAAATACATGAAGGGCGTGGGGGGGGGGGCGCTAAAATAATATGGAAATATCTTTCTATAAACGATGAGCTCAGGCCCAAAGGTCCAAAACATCACATGCCCAGCAACAAACAGAAAATACGGCATAAATTATGCGTTGTGATGGAAAACCTATCATGAAAACACCAAATATATATAAAAGCCTCTGCCTTTATGACGTATCATATTTTTTTTTCATAAGCACTGTCTGTGGAAATCTTTTTGCTACGGGTAATAAACTTGCCCGAACCATTTGACTACTGTGTGACACAATATTCAGACGACAATTGTCTCCTATGACTTTACCGAAAGAACCAAGAATATAAATGTCCACATGATGATAAGCCATAATGTGGGCCACACCTGGTAAGATAAAAAAAAATTGTTTCATAAAAAATTGCAGAAAATTAAATTCCATCTGTGGGCGGATTGAGTGTCACCGCCCTCCCACACCCGAGGGGGGGGGGGTTTCCTCCCAACGCGTTTAAACACCCATCCCAATAGAGGACCAGAAAGCTTGGGCAATTGTCGTCGCCGGTTCTCAGCCGCACTCCCGTTCACCCGTTGTTTTCCACGCTTCCCCTCCCGCCCACTCTCCGTCTCTCTGTGAACGACAACCGCGTGCGTTACAAATCCAATAATGATGATGATGATAATAATCCGGAGGATACGGTTCTCTGAAGCAATATCTCATGATGGCTGTCGCCTGCCCTCTGTCGTTCCGTGTGCGCGCGCAGAGGACGACATGGGCATGTCGGGCCATCGCCTCTCGCTGCCCGTGCCACTGGCGGCGGCAGCGGCGGCGGCGGCTGCGGCCAATCAACACGCGGCGGCCGCGGCGGCTGCGCAGGTGCAGGCCCAAGTTCAGGCTCAAGTGCAGGCACAGGTACGTGTCTGTGTGTGTGTGTGTGTGTTGGCACGCTGGGCTACGAACCCGGTGACTCGAGTTCGATTCCCGCTCACGGCCAACACTGGTGACGATTATCTGAACCAGCCTCAAATGAGTAAATGGTGCGGTGTGTAAACATCGCCGCCGGGGAGACAAAGGCGGCGGGGCGTGGTGCTAGCCACCCACCCCCTCGTGTTCCATTCCAGCCTTCATAGGTGCTCGCTAACAGCACTTGCCTCTACAGTCTGTTAAAGGCTACACGGGGGATCTTTGTGTGTGTACGCTCGCAACAACGAGCAGAGCGCCGGGCGGCTAAAACACAGCAAGGTGGCATAGTAGGGGGGAGCGTCCCGTGGGCCTCCTGCCGGCGGGCGTTCAACTACTTCACGTGGCCTTAAAGTGCACATAGCCTGGCACAAGCGCCGTGGTGACGTCACACCGCTTTGTGGCGAATGGCGGTTGTTGTTGTTGTTTACGTATGTGCATTGAGCTTTTTTAAAGGGTCCGCGGTTGTTGTTGTTGTTATTGCTGCTCGCACAATGACCCCCACCTTCCCCCACCGGGGGGGGCAGCCAACGTTGTCCAGCGCCCGCCAAATGTCCTGTAATCCGGCACTTTGGAGGCAGTCAGGGTTGGTGGATTGCACGCAGATGTTGTGAAACTCCCTTTCCCGTGGGCGTCCGAGGTGGCGCCGTTCGTTACCCCCCGGCTCCCCAGGAGGAGGCGGTAGAGCAAGTGGACTGATCGCCGTCGGTTTCCACCTGTACGGGGATAGACTGTAGAAATAAACACTGCATTTTTTGAAACTGAAAATGTCTTAAAATATAAACCCAAATTCCGCAGCAGCAGCACCGGCAGTACCCTCCTGCAAAAGAGTCCTACGATATATAATTAAATTATTGTCGTTATCATTTCAAAATCAGAAAATTCTCACAGATGTTCACAGGTGTCCTCACGCCTGGCCCCATGCCAATTGCACTCCGCTCCGTTGGCCACCCGAATCCCCGAATCGTAAAGTGAAGCAGGCGCGGCGAAGTGAGAGCGCGTGCGTGCTTGCGTGCGCGCCCGCGTGTTTGTGTGCGTGCGTGTGTATGCGCACACGCTCGAGGAATAGGCCAGTAGGCGCGTGCGTGCACGCACGCGCTCCTGCGTGCCGTGTTTACGTCCCCGAGCGATCCGCGCTGGGAGGATAATTGGGCCGCCCCTGACCTCCCTTCCCGCCCACCGCCCATTGTCGTATCAGCGCGGAGCTATCACTCTCGTTGGCTGCGGCCCTCCCCGTTGGCACCGTATCTCTCCGCCTCGCTCATCTTCTCCCGGAATCTCTCTCTCCATCCGCCTCTATCTGCCTTTCCCTTGCGAAGAAACAATTACGGGCGTTTTTTTTTTTGCTCCAACGAGACCTCATCCACGCCCTGCCCCGCCGTTCGGCAATCGAAAGCAATATTCGCGCCGCTTTCTAAAATAAACCGCCGACCGCGTACGAGTGTCGAGCGAGAGAAGGGTGCGCGTGCGCGCGCATCGCTCGCAGTGTTGATGTGAACGATGTGCGGCCGAGGCGGGGGGTGGCGGGGGGGGCGGGGAGGAGTGGCGGTGCGGTGGTTAGCGCACCGACAGGACTCCGAACCCGGAAGACGCGCGTTGTGGCGAAAACACGCCGCGCACGGTCAACCGTCGCGTTACGCCAACGAGTTAATCGCGGTCGTGAACGCACACACGCTCTCGCGAGCGACTTTCTCCCCCGGTTATGTAACGCCGTTGTAAGTTGGCTCGAGTTGTCACGAATCGGCACTCGACTTTCACGAAGAGCGATCGATTGCATTCCTGACATTTCCGACAGAGAGAAAAAAGAAAGAGCCATCATCGGTCACAGTAACAACGACAACAATAATAATAATTCGTTGCCGCCGGCAAATAATTTGAAGGCTCCGGATAGGCGTGCCCTCATAGGGCAATCTACGGGCGAGCCGGTGAAACACCGGCGCAGGCGCTACGGTGCCGGCTGTGGGCCACGTGGTTAAGGGCGGGAGCGCGGCTCTCAGTCGGAAGGTTGGGAGTTCAAGTCCTGACTGACGTGGTGGGAGGAGGGGGTGTCGTTTGTGGCCAGGTCGCTTATGAAAAATAAGCTGATAGCTCAGTGGGCTTCAACCGGTAAAATAAACATAGATATATAAATTACTTTTTATTCTTGGTTCTTTCGGTAAAGTCACGTAGAAGGGAAATAATAAAATAATAAAAACTAAAACATAATAAAATAAAATTCTCACGGCGTTTCGGCCACAACGCAAGCAGCCGTCCTCAGGCGAAGAAACAGAGCTGTTTCTTTCTATTATTTCCCTTCTACGTGATTTTACCGAAAAAAACAAGAATATGAATCCCTGCAGTCACGAAAGCTCTAAATCGAAAAATATTATTTCTTGTTTGTGATTTGCTTACCTTTCCTATACTTTGCACTCCTTTCGTGTTTGTGCAGTGGTTTGTTGTCGACACGTGCTGACGCCGTGGACATCTGTGAAAAAGAGCTTTATAGCTCGTCAGATTCCTCCTCCAGCGTCAACAAACATTCTGATTCTAATGAAATTGCACAGGGGCCCATCCGTAGGTCAGGTAGGGGGTGGGGGCGCTGTGGGAGAGTCGGGGGGGTCAGAAATTGGACAGGGGTCACCCACATTTCATTCTCCGCACCAGCACCGCCCTTGATAACCCTGCGGGGCGCAACTTTTTTTGGGAGGGGGGGTTGCTTACTCGCACCAAGGGAACGTGGAATTTCCACGATGTGGCTCGGAGACATCAGTGGAGGCGAGGCGAGCGGCGTCGCTCGCCCGTTTTGAGCGGCGACACAATTTGAACTTTTTTAAATTTTATTTTCAATTCCGTAGCAGCACCAGCGGCGATGCGCCACGAACATAGCCGATACGATTATACTCGTTGATGCTGCTTTGGCGGCGTTACCGACGAACGCGGCGCCACCAAACAACGTGAAAACTCCCCACCCGTGTGCCACGAAGGAGATCCATCGCCCCCGAAAACGTCCCCCGTAAGGCCGCAAGCGTCAATGGCCAGTTGCGTTTGACAAATTTTTTTTTGTTCGTCCCTTTTCGTCGTGACCCTCTCGGCGATGCGCCTGGTGCCTGGGTGGGCCTTCGAAAAGCCTCGCGTACCCCGGCGGGCGTGGGCGGTGATAACCGCAGGATAAGAACAGAAGCGTGAGCGGTTGCTGTAAGCACCCTCAAGATGTCACCTCCGCCTGTAAAGTGTCTCCCCATATGGGGATCAGCGGCAATAAAACTTAGCGCCCGTGCGCCCATCTGCGCAAACCATTTAACACGAGGGAGGCAGGCGGGGGGGGGGGGGGGCCGCCGTGAAGGCCCGGCCGTCAGGGCGTGCTCGCCGCTGGAGGCCCTTGAGAGTGGCGGAGGCTTTGGTTCGATTCCACGCCGCAGTTGGATGGGCGGTCGCCGTTGTCCGTCTCCGCCGGAGGGGGAGCGAGCCCCTTTTGCCCCTGACGCGGAAGGCGTGGGAAGGTTGCGGAGCCGGCCGCCGTCTTCGTTGCACCAGCGCGTAACAAGAGCAACAACAACATTTACGACAACTCTCTAACATCAACAACTTATCTGGCGGTGGCGGTGGTGGTGCTGCGTTTGGCAGTGTGTTCCCAGTAAAACTAGCAAACGCTCGACAGGGTCCAGGGATTCGAACGCAGAATCTCAGCGTCTCTGGCTGGCCGTACAACTCTGGCCTGGTCACTTCTCACACACCCCTCACTACGCCCCACTACCCCCCACACCCACCACCACTCCCCCTCAAGACATCCCGCCTGCCACCGACTTATTTATTTTTGTGAGTTTTTTTTACTTTAATTACTGGAATCCTGCCGTTCAGGTATCCACCGGCCGATGGCAAACTTTAAAAAGAGGCCCCCGCGCCGATTATAAATCATCATCACTGCGGCTTTGCCCTTCGGAGGGGGGCAGGCGGGAGGGCCGTGCGAGGGATGCCGTGGGGGGGGGGGGCGGGGGAACGACGGCTCCAGTGGCTCCAGGAGTTGCGAATCGTCGCAGATTTTTGGGGTCCGGACCGTCAGCATGGCGACGTTCAAACAGAGGGGGGGGGGGGTGGGGGATCAGCGTTGTGTACGCGCCACCACCGTGCGTGCGTCGCAACAATTCACTTGCAAACAGGTGTGCATGGTTTCGGAGACAATGCATACGGATTGTCAGAGCATGGTTTGTTTGCATGTTCACCACAGGTACCGTGTGTGGTTAATGCAGTCCTTGATTCCTTGCAAAAAGGTTTTTTATTCGGTGTTTTGTAACATGTTAACACCTGTTGCATTTCCAGAAAGGGTGAAACTTATTCTTATTTTTTTCCTGTTTCACACGCGGTAGGCTTTCGCGACCAATGTCATCCATAATGAGAGGTTTTTTTGGGGGTTAGATCGCGTAAATATATAAATGTGTCGTTAAAACCCGCCACCATCCGACATAGCCAACTAGTAAGGGTTGTCATGTAAACGGAACGTGGCCAATTCGTCACGAGTACAGCACTAGTGTATAGTGTAGTGTATAATCTAGTGTTTAGTAGTGTATAGTGTAGTGTAGTGTATAGTGTAGTGTATAGTAGTGTATAGTGTATTGTATAGTGTAGTGTATAGTGTAGTGTATAGTGTAGTGTATAGTAGTGTATAGTGTATTGTATAGTGTAGTGTATAGTGTAGTGTATAGTGTAGTGTATAGTGTAGTATACTAATACAGCACACCGGTGTGTTGGAGAGCTAAGCCACAGCACTTTCATCGGCGCATGCTTCTCCGATCGTAATTTCTCCCCCCCCACCCACCCACCACGTCCGACTTATGAATGTTAACAATGTCATCGACAAATAAATACAAATATGATCGCCCCCCCCCCCCCAACTGAATGAAGAAAAATGTCCACGTGACGATGAGGTCTAAAAAAATAGCTGCGTGCAGTAACTCAGTGGGGCCTTTACCAGGTGA